TGGGAGAGAATGGGAAGTCCTTTTATGAGAAGAGACAGTGATATTTACATCAAACATACAATCTGCTTTAGCAAAAATCAGACCTCGGTGAGAATAGAGTACAAAACACGTTGAATTCAATTCAAAATTCTTGTTAGTCAAACTTCAGATAGATGAGAAAAATCACAGAATGTAATTTTTATAACTGTGAGAATAGGCAAAACACCAAAATTCACATATTTATTATTTTAGAAAATAATCAGATTTTTAAAAAAGCAATTGAGTAATCAGTTCTTACTCATTATACTGTCTGATTATTCATGATTGCTAAAGATTTAGTAATAGTCAGAATATTATTAAAGATTACTAAACTTCCCTATTTAAATGTACAATTAGATTTACAAAGCTCCTATAATTAAATCTGAAAATGGAATATTTTAAATTGTGTTAAATGCAAATTATATTCAAAATTTTAAATTCTCATGATTTTTGTTAATAATTATGATCATTATTATCTGATTAAAGGAGTTGTACACTTAAGATCTGATGTATATTATAACTATTATTTCTACAGATTTTACTCAAAATCTTTCCGGGTCATGTATGACCCATTTGCATTTTTCAAAAATGTGTGATTTATAATTTTGTTCAGTGATATAATGAATACTTTTTATATATAAAACAACGGTCCAGGAGATGTAGGGGAGGAAAATATAATCTTAGTTTTTCCTCATCTACAGAAGTGGTAATGGAGATTATCTTGATGATGATTGTGGCAACAGTGTGTATACAGGTTGTTGGATAGTTTAGTAGAGGAAATCCAAAAGAAAGGTTCGTTTTGCTCCCTTCAAGAAAATTACACATTTCTACAATAAATACTAATAGGAGATTAGAAATAGTCAATTGGGAAACAAAAGTCAGGCAACAGAACATTCAAAGTAAAAGTCATCAACTTAGACGACAACTTGTTGAGTTAAATTCAGAATTTTGTTAGTCAAACCTTAGATAGATGTGGAAAATCACAAAATGCAATTTTTGCAGCTGTGAGAATAGGCAAATCTGTTAGGGATAAAAGGTCTTTTTCAACCCTCTTATTTAAAAAGTGTCTTTACATATCTGGAATTGACTTTAAACTATGTCTCTTTTGCAAACATTTATAAATAGTTCAGGTCTATCTACAAACCTACATCAGCTTGTGTTAGTCAATAATTCCTTGCATTCAGTAAATTGATGCCTCACTTCAAAGAAACCAGTAAGTAAAAATCTGAATTTACAAAAAAAAGTTATTAGAACATAATTACTTATTCACTTTAGTTATTAAAAAATCACATTTTTCTTTATATTGTCTCATGCTATTTAATTAGATGACAAAAATAACTATGCTTCTGGAAAATCTATTGTGTAATTAATATTTTATAAAATTCTACTCACATCAGCTCTTGCCTATCTTTTGCTAGTCCTTAACTGAGCAGTAAGAGTTTTCCTGTTTAAACACAGGTCAGATCATCTTACACGATGCTCAAATCCCCACGGATCTGTTTCCTCTAGGCTCTGCTACTGTTCTGTCTCCATCTCCTCTTACTCTCCCTTTGTTCGCTCTGCTGGAAGTACATTGGTTTCCTTCTGTTTCTTGAACTTACTACACTACAGCTTGTACAAGTTTGTTTTCTCTGCCTAGAATATTCTACAAATACTTATATTGTTCAATCCCCTACTTCATTCAAGTCATTAAGCAAATGCTCTTTTTGGTGAGGTTTTCCTGCCCACTATATTGTAAAATTTCACTGATGTTTTCCACCTTGGCACCCTGACATTTACTCCTTCTCTTCCCTGATTTGTTTGTTTGTTCTTGCCATTTATCATCATGTAACATAATATAATTTTACTCGTTTATGTTGCTTGCAGACTGAGTTCATTTCAGAATATATACCCCAACAAAGAATTTCTATCTGTTTTGTTCAATGCTTCACTCTCGATGCCTGAAAATTATCCTGACCACAACAGTATTTCAATAAATATGTGTTAAATGAATCCACAGTTAATATTCTGTAGATGACATGAAGTTAAGCATCGAGGCATTACTAGTTATTCTCCATCACAGGTCAGTATCCCATCTGTCCTCTTTCTGCACCTCTATTCTGCACCAAGCCCAGAAACTGACCTCTCTGACTACCTCACAGGCATATCCTTACCTACTGGGTTTCAGCTGTGTTCAGTCAGTGGGATAAACTGACAGGAAATTGAAGAGCAGGAAGAGACAGAGAGAGTTTTAGGTAATTACTCCCCTCATTCCCCTTCCTTTCTCACAGTAGGGATTCTGTTCTGGGATGCTGCTCAAGCTGCTTTTTTCTAAGGCTAAAACTCTTCCCCCTTGACTTCAGCTCTTTTAGATTCTAGAATCCTGTTGCCACTTTTTGTTCTGTCAGACCTGGGAGTGGTGATATCTCCAGCAGTTGTTAAATATTTCTTGTTGATTTTGTAAAACTGCTCCCATCTCTGCTAAGAATTTCTTTGTTACATTCTCTTTAAACTCATTTAACTTTCAGTTAAACCCTTTTGAGATTGCCATCTGTTTCCTGCCTGAATCTTGTCTGATAGAAATGCACTGGAATAATGAAAGTTAATATAAATAGCATAAAAAAGTAAATGTAACATTGAATTTAGAAGCAGTGTCAAGTCAGATTATCTCCACATCTGATATCAGTGACTTACCGTGCAAATTTAGAAAAGTGCTTCAATACTCTGGGTCATCAGTTTCTCCATTTATCAAATGAAGTTATTGGCTAAAAAAACTGTTAAGTCCCTTTCAACTGTCTACTGCACATTAAGTTAGGCAAAGAAAAATATTAGAGCAATATGGTATGTGTGCTGGCTATCTTCACTTTGCTATTATAAATGTACCAGAGACCCATTAATGTCTTGGGAAATATTGTCTGCAATTCTTCACTCCAATTTTGGGTTGGTATCATATTTTACGGTAGGAGGAATCTACTTTCCTACAACTTGACTTTGGGATTGGCCATGTTACCTGTTTGGGCCAATGAAATGTTGAGTGTGATGAGAAAAGAGTTGTTAAATGCTCCTGGAAAAGTTGACTTGACCTCTTGTGCACCAGGGGCCTGCCATGAGAATAATATGACTCAAGGAGCCACTGGTCCAAGGCAAATCTGGGGACATATGAAGCAGATTTAAATTCAAATAGAAATTAGAAGCTAAAAGCAGTCAATCTGTAGCCCGAGGCAGATCTGTCTTACCTAACAACAATACTGTCGTGGAAAAAATATATGCCTGTAATTTTAAGCTATTGATATTTTAAGATTGTTATGCAGCAAAAACTTACTAATGCATTATTCTTCCTTTCTTATAATGTTACTAAATGAAAAATTAATAGGTTAAAATTAAATTCAAAAGAAAATTCCATGTTTAAGTAAATTAGAGAAAACAATAAAAGAAAGTGGCAAAACAAGGAGGATTTCTGCTTCTGACTATGAGAAATTAACTGGTATTAGGCTTTTCCTTTACTACTAACAATTTAAAAATTGGACCACATATGTGAAACAGCTGTTTTTAAACACAGGATTGACTACAGGAAAGGTAAAACTGTGATTCGTAAGAGAATAAACATATTAGATAAATCGTCCAATTTTGCCTTGACTTTCTGCCTGAAGGCTCTTTCAAGATAACACTGAAAGAAACAAGCAGAGCACAATCTCCACTGAGGAGGAGAAGTATGATTTGGGAAGGCAGAGATGGCTGAGATGTGTAGGCTAAAGAACCAGAGATAAGGGAGCTATGCAGAGAAAGAACTCCAGAAATATCCATAAGGATTTGTTAAAAACTAGCCGAATACAAATCTGTGCACACATGAGTTGAAATTCCACAAGTCTGAGCTAAGAACAACTGTAGGGAGAGAACATTTTCTAAGAAGCCATGCACCAAACAATCATTCGGCTGGGCTTAGAACTGTTGCAGTTTTCATAGGCCAAACTCAAGATATCTCACTAAATACTTGGAACTGTTTATTAACAGTGGTCTCAGATGGTCATATCTTTGTAGTGGGCTAAATTATTCCTAAAGTAAAGATACACTAGATTCATGTTAACTTTTTTTTTTTTTTTTTGAGACAGCATCTAGCTTTGTCTCCCAGGTTGGAGTACAGTGGTGCCATCACGACTCACTGTAGCCTCTATGTCCTGGGCTCAAGCCCTGTTAATTTTTTATATATATATATATATATATATATATATATATATATTTCGTAGTGATGTAGCCTTTCCATGTGTACAAGCTGGTCTTGGACTCCTGGACTCAAGTGATTCAACTGCCTTGGCCTCCTAAAGTGTTGGGATTACAGGCATGAGCCACTGTGCCTGGCCCTAACAAAAATTTTCAAAAAGGATGTCAAAGAATCTACTTGACCTGCGATTGACATAAATGCCTCCTGATATGGTTTGTCTGTGTCCTGGCCCAAATCTCATCTTGAATTGTAGCTCTCATAATTCCTACATGTTGTGGGAGGGATCTGGTGGGAGGTGACTGAATCATGCGGTTGGGTCTTTCCTGTGCTGTTCTTGTGATAGTGAATAAGTCTCACTATATCTGATGGTTTTACAAAGGGGAGTCACCTAACACAAGCTCTCTTGTCCGACACCATGCAAGACATGCCTTTGCTCCTCCTCTGCCTTTCACCATGACGCCATGACTGTGAGGCCTACCCAGCCACGTGAAACTGTGAGTCAATTAAATCTCTTATCTTTGTAAATTACCCAGTCTTGGGTATGTCGTTATTAGCAGCATGAGAACAGAATAATACACCTCCTAAAACAAACTTCAATGTCCTTTAACATAATAGAGCAAAATCCAATCAACAATGAAATGTTCACCGTGTCTGTGTCTGTTACTTAATAATAATAATAAAATACTACACATGTGAAGTAGCAACATTTTAAGACCAAAAACCAAAACTATATGACTCAATAAAAATACTGGGGGGGGGGAGGGAGGGGAGCGCGGCTAGGAGAGCGCCAGCGAGCGAGCGAGCGAGCGAGCGCCGGGGAGGGGGCCGGGAGCGAGGGGCAGCTCGGGAGAGCCGGAGCGGTAGCGGCGGCGGCGGCGGCGGCGAGGCTCGGCGCCCTCTTCCCTGCAAACCATGTTTGCCAAAGGCAAAGGCTCGGCGGTGCCCTCGGACGGGCAGGCTCGGGAAAAGTTAGCTTTATACGTCTACGAATATTTACTGCACGTAGGAGCACAGAAATCTGCACAGACCTTCTTATCGGAGATTCGATGGGAAAAAAACATCACGTTGGGAGAACCGCCTGGGTTTTTGCACTCGTGGTGGTGAGTGCAGCAGCTGCCCCGAGCCCCGTGCTTGGCAACATTCCCCCCAACGATGGGATGCCGGGAGGCCCCATCCCGCCAGGTTTCTTTCAGGGTCCTCCGGGGTCACAGCCCTCGCCGCACGCACAGCCTCCACCTCACAATCCTAGCAGCATGATGGGACCCCACAGTCAGCCTTTTATGTCACCGCGATACGCAGGCGGCCCCAGGCCCCCGATCAGAATGGGAAACCAGCCTCCAGGAGGAGTTCCTGGGACACAGCCATTGCTGCCCAATTCCATGGATCCCACACGACAACAAGGCCACCCCAACATGGGAGGATCAATGCAGAGAATGAACCCTCCCCGAGGCATGGGGCCCATGGGCCCTGGCCCACAGAATTATGGCAGCGGCATGAGACCACCACCCAACTCCCTCGGCCCCGCCATGCCCGGGATTAACATGGGCCCAGGAGCTGGCAGACCCTGGCCCAATCCTAACAGTGCTAACTCAATTCCATACTCCTCCTCATCACCTGGTACCTATGTGGGACCCCCTGGTGGTGGCGGCCCTCCAGGAACACCCATTATGCCCAGTCCCGCAGATTCAACAAATTCCAGTGACAACATCTACACAATGATTAATCCGGTGCCGCCTGGAGGCAGCCGGTCCAACTTCCCAATGGGTCCCGGCTCAGATGGTCCGATGGGCGGCATGGGCGGCATGGAGCCACACCACATGAATGGATCGTTAGGGTCAGGCGACATAGACGGACTTCCAAAAAATTCTCCTAACAACATAAGTGGCATTAGCAATCCTCCAGGCACCCCTCGAGATGACGGCGAGCTAGGAGGGAACTTCCTCCACTCCTTTCAGAACGACAATTATTCTCCAAGCATGACGATGAGTGTGTGATCCCCCCTTCTCCGAGACGCTGAGAGAGCGGGCATTGCAGGCGGGAAGATGCCAGAAATTATGCAAGAAGTGAGGTGTCATTATCCAGGAGCTGGTGGGGAGGGCGTCTCCCTGCTCCCCTCAATCCCCTCCCACCCCATCCACGCCCCCCACCTTTCCCAATTTTAGTTTCATGCAATAAAAAGGCCGAACTTTTTATTCCATAAAACATGAAGGACAAAACTCAAAAATGTATTTCAAGTCAGTGACCAGAAAAATCGCACCCCTTGCCCTTTCCCCAAAGGACATTTTCCGTACACGACACTTTTTTGTTTTTTGTTTGGGGTTTTACCGTTGGGATTTTTTTATTTGTTTTTTGGGGGGGGGGTTTGGGGAAAATTTTTTTAAATGGAAGCTTCTAGCAAGCCCCCCACCCCAATCAACCTCTATGCTTTCTTCTTAAAAAAAAACAAAAAACAAAACAAAACAAAAAAACCAGAAGCCCTGCTGTGTATCTGTCCCCAAGCCCTTCCACCAGAAAAGCTAGTCTAGGTGTGAGAGCCCACGTTGTCTGTAGCCATCAAAAATAATAATAATAAACTGGACAGTTTACAATCGGTGGTTTCTTTCAAAAGGCCTTTTTTGGAAAGAAGAAAAGGCAGTCACCGTTTTCCACTTGGGGTTTTGGTTTGTGCAACAGGCAGGGGAGGAGCGGGAATGCGTTTGTTCTAGCTTGATTTCTCTGGCAACGGCAGTGGCACGCTTGGACCTCAGAACCCAGCACCCTCATCCTGTGGCCAGAGGGGCCGGACCACCGGCCCCTTTCAGGATTCCACCACAGCCCAGCCCATCGCCGTGACCCGGTGGCATGCACTGTTCCCAGGATGCCTTCCTCCTCCTCTCCTGGACCTCCCAGCCCCTCCTCCGCCCCCACCCCAGTCTTCCCAGTGAGAATCCTGCCAGCTGGGTGGTGGCCTGACGCAGAGTAGGAGAGGCTGCCACTGACAGGATGGCTATGACCTGGGACATGGAAACAGTGACCTCCACCTTCTGGTCCCGAGATCCTCGCATCAGCGTCATCATGTGCACCGGCTGGGGGGCTCGAGTACCAGTTTTCTTTGTTTTTTCTCTTTATTCGTCCTTTCTCAAAGATGGGATACTGACCAGAATTGCTCTGTATATGCTTGGGACTGGATGGAAAGACTTTGGAGCAGCTGTGGGGGGTGGGGGGACACCGACAACCAAACAGATGTGCTGTCTCCGGTCCTGTTTTTATTTTCAAAAACCAACAAGCCCGACGGTGGAGCCTGTCCCCTCCCGGGAGGGTGCTTATGGCCCCGCTCACCTCATCACCCCACAGAAACCTTTGTGTCTTGCCCTGGAAGACACCCGAATTCTTTGTACATTGACATGCCCTTCTCCTTCCTCCCTCCCCTGTAGCTGGTCTTTGTTTTACTCCCTCCCTTTCTGATCCATGTATATCATATTATGTGAGATATCATCTGCCTGAAAAAAGACTTTGTGTGGATTATTGGGAACATTGTAGCTGTTTCTGTGTTTTTTCTTACCTTGTAGTCTGGTTCTGAATTAAGAGAGGAAAAAAAAAGTAATTATGATACATTGTAGTTTGTGTACGATATATGTTGATAACGTTTTATTAAAGGGACATCTTTTTTCCGCAAAAAAAAAAAAAAAAAAAAAAAAAAAAAAAATACATCCAAAATTGAGAAAGATGACGGAATTTAGACAAGTCTTAAAATATGCTCAAAGATTTAAAGTAAAATTTGAACATGAGAGAAAAGTAAAATATAAAACAATTAAAGGGAAATAAAATCTACAATGTCTGAAATAAAAATTCATCAATGGGATTAATTATAGACTACATAATGGAGAAAAAAATATGATTGAACTTGAAAGCACAGTAATGGGAACTACGCAAAATGAAGCAAAGAGAGGAAAAAGACTGAAAATAGTAGCAGAGTCTCATTATTTAGGACAATACCAAGCTTGTCTAACATATCAATTTGTACCATGTGGATGGAGGAGAGAGGTAGAAACAAATAGGCAGATATGGAAAAAACAAACTGAAAAGATAATAGCAGAAAATGTTTTAATTTTAATAGAAACTATAAATCTGTAGGTATAAAAAAAACTCAAAGAAAAGCAAGTAGGATAAATACAAAGAAAACCACTCCTAAGAATATCATAATGAAATTAAAAGCAACTAGTGTCAAAGAGAATATTTTCGTTCTTTTCTTTTTTCTTTATTTGAGACAGGCTATCCCTCTGTTGCCCAGGCTGGAGTACAGTGGGAGGACCTTGGCTTGCTGCAACATCTACATCTCTGGCTCAAGAGATCCTCCTACCTCATCCTGCCAAGTAGCTGAGATTACAGGTGTGCAACACCACACTCATATAATTTTTTTTTTTTTTTTTTTGAGATGGAGTCTCACTCTGTTGCCCAGGCTGGAGTGCTGCGGTACAATCTTGGATTACTCCAACGTCTGCCTCCCAAGTAGCTGGGATTACAGTCATATGCCACCATACCAGGCTAATTTTTTGTGTTTTTAGTAGAGACAGGGTTTTGCGATGTTGGCCAGGCTTGTCTCGAACTCCTGATCTCAAGCGATCCACCCACCTCAGCCTCCCAGAGTGCTGGGATTATAGGTGTGAGTCACCGCACCCAGCCCAGATAATGTTTTTAACATTTTTGTAGTGACAAAGTCTCACCATATTGCCTTGACTGGTCTCGAACTCCTGGACTCAAGTGATTCTCCCATCTTAGCCTCTCAAAGTGCTGGGATTACAGGTGTGAGCCGCTGTGCCTGACTAACGATGATATTTTTAAAGTAGTCAGAGGTAAATGATTTCCATACAAAGGAACAAAGATGAGAATTCACAGACACATTGTAGAAAATTATACAGTCAGGAGAGAATGGGGAATATTTTTGAAGTGCTAGGGAAAACAAATAAACACATCATTTTCCAACAGTTGTTCTCTTTTTCCCCACTGCCCGATGTGCTTTGCTGAGGTTCAAGGACTGTTTCTATAGGAAGAAAGTTTTATTAACATTCTGGTGTTATTACTTGCCTTATGAAATTATAGAAACATCGTAGTGTATATTTTCACAAATTGCAGATTAGTGCAGCAATAAATATTCATTACACTTAAATAAATTTATTAATAGGTAGACATTTTAATCCTTTTACCTTCTATTGCAGAGGGAAAATATATTTTCTTCCCATGTTAGTTTCATGACGGAGGCCCCTATAACAAAAGACAGATTAACAAGAGAATAGCATATGAATTTATTTGATATAAGCTTATGTGACACAGGAGTCTTAAGAACTCAAGACACAAAGAAAAAGGCTAATGTGTATTTTTGTGTCTAGGTTTATTGAAGAGTGTACAGGTGTGCAGAAATATGATTGGAGGACAAAATTGTATGATCTAATGCTAAGAAACTGAGGGGAACTTAGGAAGTCTTGCTAGTTCAGATTTTTCTCTGTGTTCCTATGTCTTCAGGGGTAAACATGTTTTTTGTTTTGTTTTATTTTGTTTTCTTCAAGGTACTGGAAGGGCACCTCTAGAATGGAAGTCTTCTATCCTGCTTCAAGGGAAAAGGGAGAGAAAGACAAAGGGTGATCTGTCTAGGTTTTACAGCCTACTTTGGGAGACAAGGCAGAAGGAAGAGCGAGAGTGGACTTTCTACTTTTACTATTCTCTCAAATGTCAACATGCTGTATTTTGGGGTAGCATGTCCTAAACCCCAAACTACCAAATTTACTTTTTAAATGTTATCTTTTCCCACAGGTATATTCTAAACAAAATTTATATTTTTCTAAGTAAAATCCTCACAGAATTATGCAGCAAATTTCTCACAACTTTATCTGGGGCTGACAATAAGGTAATGATTGTAGCAAAAATCAAAAACAATTGTGCATCTGAACTCGAGTTACAGATGAAGCTGGTGCAACGCCAAATTGAAGCTGTGCTCAGATTTGTATAATTGAGAGACACAAGAGCTAGTGATTAAAAACTGAAAGAATAAGAATAACCCAATGTGAATTAGACTGGAACACAGAGAGTGACATTAAAAGCATAGAATTAGGAGGCAGAATGAATGCTCAACAAAGGCTTTTCACCATTGTCAAGAAAGCCACTGAAATATTCTCTCTGTGGGACATTTGTAGCAATAGCTAGCCTTGTACTAATGGAATAACAATGCATAAAAGTCATAAAAGAGAACAAAGGTGCAACTTAACAGAAGATATATGCTCAGTATGCAAAACTCCAGGAAAAATATGGTCTTAACTATATGCTTCAAAAGGTAGCACATCAATCTTTAAATAGAGAATACAAAGTAAATAATTCAAAGAACATTTCTTAAACAGATAAAACAAAGTCATAAGAATAAGAACTTCATTTGCCAGTGTTTCCATATGGAAAACTATGGAAAGAAAAGAGAAAATAGAAAGCTTTTATAATTTATGTATTAATAAGAGACATACCCCAAGGTACTTAGATCTTCATATTTTAAAAGAGGCTTGTTTTTGTATAAAGCAGAGCTATCACACAAAAAAATATTAGTAAAGTGTATCCCTTTCTTTAAATGTGGAGAGAAAAAAAAACTAAAAGGTTGCTAAAATAACAAGAATTAACATGTTATTTATGTCAATTGAGTATTTCTAATAAAATGGATGGTATTGTTACTGTATTTATGTCTTTATTCATTTATGTTTGACAAATTAAACAAACAAAAGGTGGATGGTTACTGGTGAGACAGGCTGGTTTCAACTACAGCTGAATTCACTGCATGCATTATGAGAATCACTGAGGTGCTTTTGTGCTTTGAGTTTTAATATTGCCACATGAAAATGGGGCATCAGAAAATGTGTCAAATGTTGAAACCATTTCTTTCTGTCTTTCATCTGGTTTTGTCTCCAAATTGGAGGATGCTCAAAGGACTACATTAAACAAAATTGGGATTTCTATTCTATCCTGACTTCACACTGCTCCTTCCTTAAGGACAGAAAGAGTTGCAGTCCATTGCAATTTACATTTGATTTCAATTTAATTTATTTTGGTTTTGCCCTTCTTTAGTTATAAGCTAGTCAAATAATTAGCTAAATATGAATAATATGTCATTTCACATCACAGCTAGCAGAACTTCTACTTAACACTGAGACTAACCATCTCTTTCTTCCAAGAGTTACTACTGTTTTGTTAGTTGTTACATAAAGCTCTGACTGGCATCAACCTAGTTTTCCTGCAGAATTTCAAGGATTGTGGAAAGGCCATATAAAAATACATTTGAAAAATATGAATAATTTAATAAACATGGAAATGAATAAAGAGTTTACATACAAATTAACATAAGGATACATAAATTTATAGGTAAGTCAATGAATGTAAGTTAAAATAGCACCATATAATTTGGAAAAAATTAAAAAACATTAATAATTTCCAGTATTACCTTTGTCAAAGAAAATTATCAGAATTTTTTAAAGTTAAAATTTCATATATTTCTAGACTCAGAAATACATACCTAAGATTGTCTCCTACTTGCTGAAGAAATAATTAAAATACATTTATTTCTACAAAGTTGTTACTAGCCAGAACTTAAAACAACCTAATTAATCTATGAAATTCAGTGCAAAAATATCTTATGCAATGATTGTAGATAATTACATAGAAAACTATAAAAACAAGACAAAATATGTCAATTAAATAAGAGTAATAATAGATGTCCTGTTAGAAATAATTTTGCCAAAGAAGTTCAGAGCTAGGATAAAAAGTCAAGTTTAGAGGGTAATATTTCTATTCAATCCTTCATTCATTCTTATGACATTAAGGGTGAAGTTTTATTTATTAATTCATTCATTTTATCATTTATTCACTTTTTAAACTGTTATTTATTACAGGCACTAGACTAGCTGGTGCTCATAAAAAAGAAATTAACTCTTTTGTTTTTTAATTGATAGTTTTTGCAGAGTCTCAGCAACTGCATTTGGGGCCTATATACAAATTAAGGAACAAAAAATGACCTGTTCTTGAAGAATTGCAAAAGGATACCTGTTCTGGGTATATCAATGAGAAGGAAAGGTCTCTTCTGGTAGATGTAACCACATTGTTCAGGGAACACAATTGGCAAGGAAGGCAGAGGCTGCATTACAGCTCTTGCTTCTGCCGCATTGGCCAGGCACTGTTACGTAGAACATACCCTGACAATCTTGTTCAGAGAAACTAGAACGTGGAAGACATTGCTGAAAATATAGAGATGTAATTGAATCCATTTACTTTTATATTTTCTATATAACCTTACTCACATGTGTTGAAGAGAGCAAATGCATTGGCATGGCAATTAGAAACTATTTCAGAATCTTCTGGATAATTTGGAATCTGGGTCTCCATCATTGCTCAAGCAAGTAACTGTACAATGTTTAATGAAAGGTAAGCAATAACTTTGTTCTAGGTTGGGGCTACAGCAGAGCAAAAAA